CTTGAGAAGAATGGGAATCCCGGAACAGGAGATTGTGCTCATGCAAAACCTATACTTTTACCAAGAGGCAGTTGTGAGAGTAAGGAAATACTGCATGGTTCAAAATTAAGCAAGGAGGGTGTCTGGGAGGCATTCTGTCTCCATACCTTTTCCATCTGTATGTGGAACAAATAATTCAGGAGCAAGATTCTATTTCTTCCCTCCCTTCCTCCACTGTGTATTATCTTTTATTTAGTCTTCATTAATATCATCTCTCTAGGCATGGTTTCATCCCCTGTTCTGTATTTCAACCAGTCTCTTGTCTCTTTCTTCAGCAATAGTAAGGCAGATACCCTTTCCTTGGAGAAGAGAAATCCATGGTTTATTGCCTTTGGCAATATCTAAAATATTGGAAAGCTGGGTGGCAAAGCTGTTGCCACTGGCATCCTTCACATGAACCATATCAACAGTGCCAGGATGTCTCTCTCTGTTAGAGATCACACCAATTTTTCCCAGGTTAGCACCTCCAGTCACCCTGCACACTTTGCCAGGGTCAAACTTGATGAAATCAGTAATCTTTCCAGTCTTGAAATCAATCTGAATGGTGTCATTCACCTTGATGAGAGGATAAGGGTAGTGGATGGTTTGAGTATCATGGGTCATCAGATGAGGGATTCCTTTTGTGCCCACGAAGACCTTTCTCACTTTGCACAACTTGTACTTCTGCACGTGGAATGTGGTGACAGCAAATTGTCCCTTAATGTCATAGATGAGATGGAAATCACTCTGGTCTTGTCAGTGAAGATCAGATCCATAAACCCAGCAGGGCAGGTTATATCAGTTCAGACCTTGTCTTCAACCTTAATGAACCACTGCATGCAGATTTTGTTAACTGGTTTTTTTTTATGCTTTTTTTTTTGTTTTTTTAGCTTCTTCTCCTGTCAGGGCATACTTAAGTCTGTTACTTTTTTAATTGTTTAAATTTTAAATTTATTTTAATGAAAGTTTACAGAGACTTTGGATTTCCATTCATTCATTGTTGCACTTTTCTCCCTGCCCACCCCTCACCCCCAATTTGCTTTTCTTTTTGAAAAGTAAAAGAAAAAAAATCTTTCATTGTTATTCAATCCCTGCCCCCCAAGTCCACTACACTATGCCACCTTCGTTCTGGATTTCTGTCATGACAATAATTTCTAATCACATACCCCTTTTAAACAGTTTTCTCCCTTATCTGTTTCAATGCAGCATACATTATGTATCCCATCTTTCTCAGTCTCCCCTCAACCCCGATGTCAGACCTCTTTTATAACAGTGGCACTATGCAGTATTAGTCTTTTTGTAACTGAGATATTTCACTCAGCATAATGTCCTCCAGGGTCACCCATTTTGTGTATTAAGTCTGTTTCTTAAGAAAATTATCAGTGCACACATTCTCTCAGTTTGTGGGGACCAGTAGATGGGCAAGGAGGAAATGTACCAGGCAGTTTGTCCAGCATCTAATGCTTTGGAGATGCTACATGCTTCAGATACTTCTGGGACCATGAATCATAGTTTTGCTGGGCGAGAAAAAAGGTCCTGCAAGGTTCTCTTTCTACAGATTTATTTTGTATTTCTTTATCTGTGTTGTATTGACTGCAAAGATGTTTGTGTGGATAACAACAAATTGAGGCTGACATTAAGAAGAACAAGTCCCATTTGCTTTACCTCCCTCCACCCACCAAACTGTGTGACCCTATAATACACCCCTTGCACATTTTCATATTTTAGTTTTTTAAAATTTTAAAAAACTTTTATTATTTTTTGTGTGTGTACCATCAAATTTGATCTGATTGGTACAGGAGGAGATTGTCCCTCCTCCAGTAAAGCATCTGGTGGATTTGAACTGCTCATCTCTGGGATTGCAGTGCGCTAGGCCACCAGAGCTCGCCAGCTTTTTTTCTTCTCTAAATTCCACAGCTTTAAAATGAAACTGTCTTTTTTCCCTTGGGTTATGAAGATTAAATAATGGGTATTGTGTTGAGCACTTAGACTATTATCTGAGACATGGTTGATTGTCCATGTCCATGGCTTCTCTTCCTGAACTTCTTCAATTAATCTTCAACCCTCATTTTCTGCAGACCTCAGCTTTTTTTTCTAGTGTGATAGTGGCATCCATGACTATCTTTGGCCCCGATCTCTCTTTAAAGTGGAGGAAGATGGCACACACACACAGGGCATGATTTGCAGGGTAAGTTAGAGGAGCACAGCAGCTCAGGGGAACCGAATAGAGGCCAGTGCCAAGGGGGCAAAATAGATGGAATACCTTGTAAGAAGCCATCAGCTTGGTGCGTTAATGTTGTGTCAGAGAGTCTCAGTGGCACAGTGTGTTAATGCTAAATGTTGGGCTACTAACTAAAAGGTCAGTGGTTTGAATCTACCAGCTGCTATGTGGGAGAAAGATGGGCCATCTCCTCCTGTAAAGTTTTACAGCCTCAAAAACACAGAAGAGGGTTGTCATGATTAGAATTGACTCAGAAGCAATGGGTTTATCATGAATTTAAAGGCAATTTATTATGAAATACAAAATTTATAGTAATTTTCTTTTAAAAGCAGGCTTGTGTTTGGAAAAAGTGCTGTATCTATTGCTTTGAGTATTTTAACCACCGGGGATGCACCAAGGATGTCTTTTAAACACTGAGTATGGATCTTTATGGCAGAAGGGTGGGGTGTTTAATGAAACAGAGGAGAAGTCTGTATCCTTTGTGACTTGGTGCACTGAAAAGTTTAAGCCATGTTTGACCAAGGCCTATTTATCATGGCATTCAAAGAGAGGGTTCAATGCTTATGACATTATATTATTTTATTTAATTTAAATTTATAATTAATTTTAGTAAAAATTTACAGAGACTTTGGATTTCCATTCATTCATTGTTGCACTTTTCTCCCCTCCCAATCCTCCCCCTAGTACACTACCCTCTTGGAAAAGTAAAAGAAAAATTCTTTCATTGTTTTACAAACCCTTCTCCAGGTCCACTCCACCACGTAGCCTTCGCTATGACATTATATTCTTAATTATTAATGATGATATCAACTTACTAACATTAAAATATTGTAACCATTCAGTTTTAATGAATGAAATGTTGAATCAGTGCTATGTGATGTGAGTTCTATACCTCAAACTTCAGGGTCTGCTCATCTTTTGAGTCACTAAGGATGTTGTTCTCAGACCTACTTACATGAATGAAGTCATCAAAGACAAATATGAGGAAATCCAGTGAAATACAGAAAATTAGAGGAAATCTACTTTCAACTGAACATTGTCTCAAATAATTATATTATCCTAATTCCCATGTTTTTCTTTTTATGAATTGATGCCTTTGAGTTATAGTGCTGGACAAGAGTATCGAACATGACATGGGCAAGAGAACAAATAGGTCTGTTGTGGAGAGAGTAAGACCAAAATGCTCCTCAGAGGCAGGATTTTGAAGCTCCGCCTCACATACTTTGGGAATGTTGCAAGGAGGCACCAGTCCTTGGAGAAGACCATCATACTTCTAAGGGTGGAGGGACAGCACAGGAGAGGAAGACCCTGGATAAGACAGATTAACACAGTAACTAGGGCAATGGGAGTGGGAGTGTTGGAGACAGTCAGACTGGTTCAGGATAGGGTGAAGCTGAGAGCTATTGGACATAGGGTCGCTATTAGTCACAGGCAACTCAATGGCATATAACAACAACCACAAAGCAAAAATAACTTCTTCACTAATTCATATGCTCAATCAAAACCCTCAAACAAGAATAATTGCAAAAATAATTTGGTACATATTCTTAAAGGAAAGCAAGTAATAACTTTGAATTTTTATTGTTTATAGAGTTAAGGAAAGGGAAATTTGGTTGGAGGTCCCATGAATCTTTTAATTAAATCAAAGGGCATAACTAGAAAATCTGATTTCAGAGCGATCAAATCTTTTAGGAAGCTGAGGGTTTGTTCCAGAATTAGCTTTCAGGGGTAAAAGAAGCAGAAAAATACTTGTTCCAAGGCACACAGAAATTTTCAGATCCGATCAGGAGCCCTGCAGGTATAAAAGACAAAAATTACGGACTCTGTTTATGTTCCAGGAGAGAATTATAGTGAGAAACTGAGACTTTGCCTGGTTAAAATGCAAAACCTTAAAATTTTTCTGACCTCTCTTCACCCTCACTTTCTTCTCATTTCCTACCCTCCCCCATGGACTGAATATAAAAAGAAAAGTTTCAGGCCCTAAGACATCTCCCATATGTGTTAAATACAATGTAGCGAACAGTTATTCCAACACAATGAAAAGTGTCTACAAAAAATTTTTCCTCTGATTAGGCATTATTGTCATGACAAGAATCCAGAAAGAAAGCTGCATAGTGGTGTGAACTGAGAGGGGGGTATTGTATAACAGTGAAAGAATTTTTTTTTTTTTTTTACTTTTCAAAGAGAAAAGTGAACTAGGGGGCAGGGTGGGCAGGGAGGAAAGTGTGCAACAGTGAATGAATGGAAATAAATTTAAAAAAATTTATCCTCTGAACAAAATGAAGCTTGAGTATTACCTGTTCATCAAGATTCTTGAACTGAAAAAAGAAGGAGAGATTATTTTAGGCATTAAAAAATATTTATCAAACACAATGTGAATGAAAATTTGTGGAACACAACGTATATAAATGAAACACAATGTATTCAAATTTTATATGCAAACCAATATAAAATTAAAATTTCAGATAAATGTTTCTATCCTCACATCACCCTGACCCTGTCATCAGGAATCATAATAGCACTAATTGGAGACTAATGCATCTCTAAATGACTTCCCTGGTAAATAAAGCCCGAGTACTGGAGATCTGTATCTGGTTAGGATAAGATCCCAGCCTGGAGATTCTTTTCTCCGTAGCTTACTTCCTTGAGCATCTGATTTCTGTGTTCTCTAGAACTCTCTGTAGTTGCTCCTCTGACCCTGTCCCTTATTATAGAAGATGGATGAAGAGAGACAGAGGAAGGTGAAGGCTCAGCCTGGGGCTGAGGGTTCCTTACCCTTTTCGCTTGTGCATGAAGAAGCCCACTCCAAAGATGATGAACCCCAGCACAAATCCCCCAACTCCAGTCAACATTTTGCTTCGGCCTGTCTCAGACTGTACCTCTGGAAAGAACAGATCTCAAGGTCAGTTACCCTTTCATCCTCAGGTCTTGTCTGAGGTTTGGTGTCTGAAGGACAATGAGAAGGATTTACTTTGGTGGAGGAGTAAATCTGGAACAAACCCTTAAATTCTGGAGTTTAGGGTGGTGACTTCATGAAGGGGACAAATACTGATTCTGGTTGCTGCCTCTGTGGGATCTAGCAGGGCCACCAGGGAGCTACTCACTCCACTCCACGGTGACAGGACTGTCCAGGCTGGGGTGTCCCACACGACAGGTGTAGACGTCACCCTGTTGAGGGGTCATTTCCAGCATCACGATGATCTGGAAGGTCCAGTCTCCATTGCGGATCAGGTTGGTGGATACAACCCCAGCTGTTTCCTCCTGTCCATTCCGGAACCACTGGACTTTAATGGTGCCTGGATAGAAATCTGTCACGTGGCAGACAAGCATGCTGTGGTGCTGCAGGGACCCCTTCTTAGAGGGGGAGACATTCACCTTAGGCTGGACTGTAAACATGAAACAAGAGCAAAAAACAGGCAATGGCATTTGTGATTATTTATCAGACACATTCATTATACACTTTGTTTCTGGATATTTATAGTAGAAGTTTGTCAATATCACTGAATCATAGTCTACTTGATGACTCCTAACAACAACAATAGAAATGATATAATTAGGCTAGTAAAGATATTGCTGAAAATAGAAACATCTTCAAACAGATTGTGAATTTTCTAACAACTATTGAGAATAGCCAAGTCTGCATTCAGCAGCTTTCTTAGCAGATATTTTAACTATAAGCCATTGTCTTTTGATGAAGAATGTTTAATCACCTGTGAAACTATCTTTTTAATGCTTTATCTTAATGAAAAACCCACTAATATGCTGAGATTCTTTGTACAATGGTCTGTCAATCTAATAACCTTAAAAAATAAAAAGGAAATTAAGTTGACAGTTTATTTTTAATAATGACATGGCATGACATAACAAAACCTAAGATAACAAACATAGAGGGAGCTCTGTTGGCCTAGAGGAAGGAAACTGTGCTGCAATCCTAAAGGCACACAGTTTGACCCCACCAGCTGCTCTGCGGGAGAAGGATGGACAATCTCCTCTTCATGTGATTTACTGCTTCTGAAAAATGACTGGGAGGTCAGCTATTGGTTGTACCCAGTCTGATGGCTTAAAAGAACCATATATATTTGTTATCAAAACTGTTGTTGTGAGGAGCCATTGAGTCATAGTGATCTTAGGAACAACAGATCTGAACCAGCCCACTCCTGTGTCACCCTCATTGAGCACACTGTTAGAGCCACAGTCTCAATCTCTCTTCCGCTGACCCTCTCTACCTTTCCAAGCATGGCCTTTAGCAACATGCCACAAATGCGTGTGACGAAGCTTCACCATCCTTGATTCCAAGGACTTTAGTGGTACTTTCTCCAAGACATATTTACTGTTTTTTGGTTTTTTTTTTTAACAATCTGTAGGATATTCAACACCACAGCTCAAAGCCATCCATTTTTCTTTCATCCTAGTCATTGTCAAACTTTCAAATGTGTAACAAGTAAATGAAACAATAGAAATAGGCTAGATTCTATCATCTAACTCAATATTGGGGTCCACTTCATGCTTGATTAGTAGAAATTCCAGTACTTTCCTAAGCTCCTCTTCTGCAATTAAGTTTTCTTAAGTTCCCTAACTGTGCACACAAATGCTAAAACAGAATTCCCTCTAGTTAATGTCCTTTCTTCTTATCTTTCTGTTGCTCTTAGATCAATGTCCACACTGATGCCTACTCTCTGATCTCTCAACACTCAATGCAGTTACTGGTTTCCAGCCTCTGTCATCTGTAGGAGCAGAGAGGATCCATGTGCTCCTGGAGAAAACCAGTTTAGACACTTTCCCGTCAGTGATTCTCTGTCCTTAATAACTACTTTCTTGCTTTCTATGTCCCAAAGACAAAAATACCATGAGGTGTGGCGGTGGATGTGTTGGGCCTTAGAGTAAGAACCAACCAGGAGGCTGTAAATCACAAGGCAGGAGATTGTCCATCCTCCTCCCTGGGCGCAGCGGGTGGATTTGAACCTCGTGTCTTTGGGTTGGCAGTCCAACCCCTTATCACTAGGCCACCAGCGCTTTGAGGCAGGGCTGAGGGCTGAACTCCACGCTCACTGCTCCGCCTGGTATTTTTGCCCCGTGTCTACAGCTCTCTTTACTCTCAGGGACACGTTGACCGATCTCCCCTCATAGAGAATCTTATTAGAGAATCTCTGGTCCAGACCCTTCCCCTCACCGCAGACCCCTGACTGCCCATCACACAGCCCACTTGTGTGCGTCCCGTCAAGCCCCCAAGGACAGGCACGAGGTCCCCCACGAGTGTCTGGGCACTAATCGCCTGTGCGTGATGGCCTCGCCCAGGACCCCCGGGAAGAAGGCTTCACGTCCGCACCGGCGCCCAGCAGCGGTCAGGCCCGTCCGAGGGGGCGGCCGCAGCCCGCAGCCCTGAGCCCCGCAGCCCCGCCGGTCAGCCCCGCTGCTCCACGTCCCTGCCCCCACCGGCCCGGGCGCTCCCGCCTCACTCACCGCGGCGCTTCAGGGTGACTTGCTCGTTCAGCTCGTAGTTGTGTCTGCACACCGTCTCCACCACGGCCCGGTTCTGCTCCATGAGGTCCTTCTGGCTGTTCCAGTACTCGGCGTCAGGCCGCCCCAGCTCCGTCACCGCCCTGAACTCGCCCACGTCGCTGTCGAAGCGCACGAACTCCTCGCGGTTGTAGATGTATCTCTCCACGTAGCGCTGGGTCCCGTTCAGCGCATAGCAGTCCTGACGGGACTGGACCACGTAATTCTCTGCGGGCAGAGAGGCTGAGCAGTGGGCGCGGGACCCCGCCCGCAGAGCCCCCCCTGCGACCCCCGACCCCGCACCCCGGTGACCCCCGGGACTCGGACCCTACAGGGGACCCCGCGGCCGCGCTCTGCGGGGTCATCTCCGTGGCTCAGCCTCGTTAACTGCCCCCTGAGGTGGTGCCGACCCTCGGGGGTCTCCTCTCTCGGTCTGATTTGAAGGTATTCCCCGCCCGCTTTAGGCGACAGAGGACACGTCACAGGCTTCTGCGGTCCGTCTTCACCGTAACTCGCTGTTGTACCGTCGAGTCGGAGCTGACCCGCAGCTGACCCTCCGGGTTCTCAGAGGCCGTTTAATAACGGAGGAGACTGTCCGTCCTCCCCCCGCGGAGCGGCTGGTGGCCTCGAACCGCCTGCCTTCGGGATTACAGCGCAGCTTCTTAGCACTAGACCACCAGAGCTCCAGACCCACAACATAAGAGAATTTAATGACTATCCTGTGACTCAAAGATAAGACGTAATTGATTAGGTGATGACACGGACACATGAGGAGAAAAGAATCATTTTCTCTGGCAGCTGGAGAAGGAGGGGAAGATTAGGAAGGTGACACGGAGCTCTGGTGGCCTAGGGTCAAGAAGCCGCGCTGCAATCCTGAAGGCACGTGGTTCAAATCCACCAGCTGCTTCATGAGAGAAGGATGAGCAGTCTCCTCCCACATAACTGTTTCTGAAAACCTGCCAGAGGGGCAGCTATGGGTCAGTTCCACCTCGAAGGTAAACAACAACAGCAACAACTTCACAAAAGGAGCTCTGGTGGCTCTGGTAGCCCTCATCAAGTTGTGCTGCCAACCAGGGGCTGCACCTCACTGCTGGTTTGAATTCACCAGCAACTCCACAGAAAAAGATGAGCAATCTTGTCCTGTGTGGTTTACAGCCTAAAATCCTCCTGAAGGGCCAGCTATGAATCAATTCTGACTCAATAGCAATAAGGTGAAGAATGTCAAAAAGGGGAAGAATCCCAGTTAACATCAACATTGTCAACATCACCAAGTAGATTTCTAGGCCAGACACGCTGTCCAGGATTTCTCTCCTCACCCCCAAGTCTAGAGTTCCTTCAAAATGGTGGTTGGTTGGTGTTTTTTTTTCTGTCTCTGCCAGCTACTGTCTTTTCTCATCCAACTGCTTCAGCTGTATGTTTCCTAAAATTTTAATATGTTATTCATATTTTACTTTCAAAATAACTATCAGGGGACATTTTTTACCTGTTTAGAAAAGAAACTTCGAAGCTTGTTTTTAAAAGCAACATTTGGTTTTTGTTTTTAGATGGAATTTTACCAGCAAACTAGACATAAGTATCAATTGAGTCCTTTGGGTAATAAAAAGTTTTCATATTTTCAGGTGTGTATGATAAATGTATCCTCTATTCCACCCCCCACCCCGAGGGTTTTCAGAGGGTCTTTAAGAAGTGGGTGGCTTATTCCAAAGAAACCATAACTGGGCTGAGTCTGGCCTCTGAGGTGGGCAATGCCACGCCTCTGTCCCCGTCCTGGGCTCTCTCCATCATGGTGACGATTTTTCCAGAAACAGTGTCATATGATTTTCCTAAAGTGTATTATATTCTGTTTGCCTTCTTCTTTGAGCTACAGTTCTTGGGCCAGGTCTTTGAAGCTGAGAGTCTCCAGGGGCCCTGCTTTCACCATGTCCCTGGATACATCACCGCTTGTGCTGCTCACGGTAACCACCTTGGATTTGTCCAGTCCTGGGACTGGCATCTGAGTACCATTAACTTGGGCATCAAGGACAAACTGGATATCCATGCAGCAGCAAGGCTATGCCTCACTCTTGGCTCCAATGTCCCGAGGGAAATCTGACTGAGAAAAGCTATCACCAGCCTGAGTGGCCTTATCTATCAAGGGGACACAAACTGCCTGCTCTTCCTGTGCATACAACTGCACTCTTGTTGCGCTGACTACCTGGAAAGGAAGACTGAATACTGGGAGCATCTGGCATGGCATCTGCCCTCAGGCAGCTGAGTGGGCCAGTGTGGGGGAAGGTGCAGTGGGGAGGGGCGATGACCACCCAGTCCCTCCTTCCTATCCTGGGGGTTGGGGTAGGATGGGTAGACATCAGTTCAGAGGAGGCACTGCTGACCTCACTGGATGGAGCTGGTGTGGCACGTCTCTCAGTGTGTAGGGTCAGGTGGCAGGCCTGCCCTCCAAGCCTCCCTGACCTCCCTGACATCCAGACCATCCAGAAATGTGACTGGTTCACACTGGAGCTGGAAGAGTCACTCACTGTCACCCACACAGAAACCTTACAGATGTCTAAAAACCATAAGCAATTCTCGCTAGGATGCATCCTTGCTCCAGTGGCTGAAGGCCTGATATTCAAACATATCACCAGGTTCCTTCTGACCCAGCACACCTACAGGACTCCATCTACCTCAGATGACATCCAAGGTGGCCGTGAGGGGTCCCAGAGTCTCCAGGCAGGGGACCCTTCCACATTTGCGTGGGTTTGTGAATCTACCCCAGGAAGACAAGAACTTCTCTGTGAGGGACCCTCTTCCTATGCCCTGAGTCACTTCTCTAGACACCTCTTCTGTACATCATCACCTCACCACACTTCTGGTGACACTCCAGAAATCTAGTCCAAAGCCTACCTCTCTCACATGTAATTTAAGTGTTATCACTTCACTGATACTAATGTCAGTACAAGTCACAAGAAGCAGAAAGAACAGTAACTCCATTGCATTTTCCCTAAGTGAACCAGCTCTGTGGCATTGGCCCTCACACGTGTAATGGGGCAGCTCCCACTGGGGTGGGGGTGGGGGTCTCAGGCTCCTCTGCTCACAGGTTTTGTGCCTAAGCTGGGGGCTCCGCTGTCTACACACACACCCACCCTTGCACGTTGGTACAGACAATAAATGAGACTCTGAAAGTAGGACCATTGTTGCAGCCGCCACCTAACATCATTTTGGACTGAAGCACCGAATACGAGGGGAGTGTGCTCTGTGTCAAGGTACACACCTCTTCCTCTGAACTGTCTCTCGGTTCATTGTCTAGTGAGGCGCTCAAGGAGGCTGCCTTGGGCTCCAGGTAGCAGAGGCACATAGCCAGAGGGAGGGAGAGAGTCAGGACATACGGCACTGAGAAGGAGTTGGAGAGCAGAAAGAAAAAGGTGAAGAAGAAGCAAGGCACGAGGGACCAAGGGACTGGGAGTGGATAGGGAGGAAATGCTGCAAGCGCTGCAGGAGGAGGGCGGACTCCAAGAGGTTGGGGAAAGAGAAGGAAATGACTCAGGGACATGCAGCGAGAAGGAAGAGGGTTGCCCCTTTGCCAACTGGCTGTTTGCAGCTAAATGCCACATCTGGGACTCCTAAATAAGGCTTCCTTTTGCTGTCCACATTCAGGGTGGGCTTCCCGCACACCCGCACGGGGTCCTCACAGGGCTGACAGTCCTCCTTGTCCCTGCATCTCCTGCAGAGCTTTGTGGGAGAGGCAGGGGGGCTTCATGTAGATGGAGGTGACAGGGGGCAGGAGTCAGCACTGAGCCTGGGTGACTGATGTGAAAGAGACAGACAGCCAGACAGCAGCAAACAGAGGTGTAGAGGGAAAAAAAGAAAACTGTAATTAGTTAATTTTCTTAAGCTATCAATATGCTGCAAAATAAAACTTTAGCATAAGGGTTGCTGTTCACCTATTTTCAAGTATTCAAGCTACAGGCCAAAGGTCCCACCAATGGCTCCATTTTCACCTACTTTCAAGTATTCAAGCTAAAGGCCAAAGGTCCCACCAATGGCTCCATTTCTTCCACTAGACCATCAGATGGATTTATTTTTGGTTTCTTCAGGTCTGAACTGAACATATTTGTGAGCAGTTTTGAAGTCCACACGTTCACATGATCCAAAAATTTCACTTCAGAACAAGAATTCTATAAGTTTCAGGATTTTAAGAAAAAACAACTCTCTGACAACATACAATCAAGGCTTTCAATAAGCTTCTTCTGATCTGCTAAAAGATCTGTTATGATAGATCTGTTAGATTTAAAATAAAAATCAAGCCCTAATTTTGAGTATCTTTTACCATCTCTGTTACTTTCTTTCTTGGTTAATCAAAGCATTTCTGGCCCCATTCCTATCTTATAAACATATGTGATGAGAGAATTCATTGGATCCTGACCTCCATAAAGAATGAAAGTTCCTTGAGTTTCATTTATTCTACAAATGCACCATAAACCATACTAAGTGGCTTCAACAAGTCAACTAGCAAAAGGAATGTTACCTTCTCTAAAATGTTTTACAAGTATTTACTTTGTATTATTTGTAGTCCACATGCAATATTAAAGATAATAATTTTCCAGCAAAAAAAAAGAAACCATAACTGCCACCCAGGCAGATATATGCATACCACATTTATCACAGCTTTGTTCACAAGCAAAGAGCTAGAAACAACTCAAGTGCCCATCAACAAATGAATAGATAGAGAAGCTCTGGTACAGTCACACAGTGGAATCTATGCAGCACTGAAAAACAACTCATGAAATATACAAAATGGATGACCCTTGAGGACATTGTGCTGAGTGAAATATCTCAGTCACAAAAGGACAAATATTGCATAGGGCCACTGCTGTAAAACGGGACTGACATTGGGGTTGGGAGGAGACTGAGAAAGAGGGAATAAAGAATGCATACTGCATTGAAACAGATGAGGGAGAGAACTGTTTAAAAGCAATATATAAATAGGTATTAGTGTCATGACAGGAGTCCAGGATGAAGGCTACATAGTGGAGTGGATTGGGGGTGATTGTATAACAATGAAAGAAATTTTATTTTACTTTTCAAAGAGAAGAGTGAACTGGGTGGGGTGGGGAGAGGTGGGCAGGGAGACTGTCTTAACTTGGCAGCTCTACTAAAACCTGTCTACCATGGGTGACTCTTCTGGTATTTGACACATGAGTGGCACAACTTTCAGCATCACAGCAACTCCCAAGTTACCGCAGAACAGC